CGGACATAGTTGATTATTACATCCAACATCACTGCCATTCCCATAGTCTGCAAGAAGGATTTTAATTTGATTATTTACTACTATACAAGAATGATGATTTAAGGAAACCATAATACTAATTAATTTTTCTGCAATGGAAATATATTTGCAATAATTGCTCAAGAAGGATTTTGATTATTTGAAAATGAAATTAGAAAAGGTGTGTGTATGTGTGTATTGAGGAATTACTAACCTTGTAACATCCAGGAACTAGTTCTTGCAAGCATCTAAGCTTTTCATTTATTTTCTCCCTTCGAAGCTATGTCACAAACAAGAAATTAATCAAGATCATACTTTTACAAGTCTTTTTTATTTTCGTAGAAATTTTCTAGTGATGAGTACATGAGATAATTAAGCTGACAAATTATAACACAATATATTGAATTTATGAATACTTACTCTTTCTGCCAAACTATGACTATCAGTAGCTTGTCCTCTCTTTGCTCTAACATGAACAACTTCTCTTGGCTTCTCAGCTGCTTCTTTCTGATTATTTCTTTTTCTCTTTCTCCCTTCACAGCTCTATATATCACCAAGAAATATATGACACAATTCTTATAACACACAAAGAATAAAAGAGAAGAAGAATTAACATGCCCACCCAACTATTCAAACTAAATATAACTAGCTAGCAAATGTATAATATATGTATAACCGTGTATAATCTATATATAAATTGTAAATCCAGCCGGCTATCTGTGTAAAGGTCTAAAGAAAAGAAGCACATAAGTATTTATATTGACCTTGGCAGTTCCAGATACTAGAGGTGGAGGAGTTGGAATATTATTATTCAGCATGGACTCTGATTCCGGAATTGAATTCATATTACTACTGCAGCCATAATTACTTGGACCTCCCAAGGTAAAAAACTGAGCAGCAGCAGCTGGATCATACATATTCTGAGCAGAAATGGAACTTGAGAGATTCATATCAGTATGAAAAGCCATGTTTGGGAGCTGATGATGATTAGAAAAATCTTCATTTGATAAAGCCAAAAACCCATGTTGATTAATATTTGAGCTGAAATTCTCAGCTTCAAGGTTTATACTATTTAGGAGTTCCATATTATTTGAGTTCATAAAAGAGGAAGAAGAGGAAGAATTCAAAGCCTGAAAACGATCTGCAGCAGAATGATCACCCATGAAATTTGGTAGATCTTAATGTACTTTATATGATAGGATAGGTAATGGAATAGAACAAATGTAAGGGTACTAGTTTCTGTGCAAGGTTTTAAATACTACTCCCCACCTCTATTTTATGTGGTGATATTTGATCGAAATAAATAGGGAAATTTTGTTACCCTCTGCATCCCAATTGACGTGAGACTTTTTTTTAGTCTGTCCCAAAAAAAGAATGATATCCTTAAATTTTTCATTTTACCTTTAATATGAATGATGATTTATAGTTACATAACTTTATATGACTTGTTTTAAATCACAAGTTTCAAAAATTTTCTTTTATATTCTTAAACAATGTACCTAATTAAATATTATTACATAAAGTGAGATAGTTAAGCTTACTTTAATTATCAAAATGACCCTTACTATCAACAATTAAATATATAAGAGGTGTTGAGGGTTCCACATGTTCTCCATATTCTCTCTTTCCATAAAAAGGTGAACTTTTGTATACCGATTGATCCTACGGGCCATGTCATTTAGGATAAATTGAGGATAATATGGTAATAATTTTTAAACATATAAAAATATACTAATTGTTTTGGACAATTTGAAAAGAAAAATGTGTTAAATAATAGGGGGTTGGAGGGAGTAATATATAGGTAAATATTTATCCACACGTCATTTACATCAAATCATACTAATTTACCCATGATTAAGTAATTTAATAAGGGAAGTGGGTGTAATATACACTGAAAAAATAGTATTACGGAGCGAAACTTGAGAAGAGGTTTCTGAAATTATCTCTATAAATTTTTATCATAATATTTGTTCTTGAAACTATGGCAAGCAATTTAATGAATATTCGATGATTGGAGGAAATGGACTTGATTTTTGGGGAAATATAAAAGGAGATTCGTGGATGTAATCTCTTGATGGGTCCACTTCCATTTGATATATCAAGTAAATGGGACCATTACTCACTTTTGATTGAGTATGATCCAAATTGAGAATATCATTGAAGTCTTTTAATGGTTTGGCATTAAGTTGTTGGAAATGACAATAGTGTACATTCCCATTGACCACTTTAATCTTTCCACCTCGTACTAGTTATCACAGATTGATAAAGATAATAATGATAATAATATCCTGTCTATTGAGAAAATAATAGCACTTGATCCTGCACTATTATTTATATAAGCGGATTCAGGATTTAATATTTATAATATATATATATATAGTGAATTTCTCAACAGACATACAAACAAGAAATTATGAGGTTCTGCTGAACCTAAACTTTCCAATTCCCATGCATGCTAGCTCTACCCCTTAATATTAATATTAGTCGATAATAATTTTTTTTTAAAATTTTTGCGGTACTTGGAAGTCAAAGGTAGTTTTGGCTTTGATCAACAAACCTAGTTGGATGAAAACTAAAATAGCTTGAGGACTAATATTTTTATCGAATTCTCAATTAATATTTATCACATAAAATACATCTATAATTACCTTCAATTACAGTTGTCTCATATATGTATATCAAGTTAGTTACTATTTCTTTTGAATTCTCAATTAAATATTTTTCACAAAAAATATCTATAATAACTATCTTCAATTGTAGTTGTTCTTATATATATATATAATTATATAATTATTTTGTAAGTGGCAATTATGATGCAAAATATTCGAATATGTAGCATATATCTTTTAAGATTGAAGGTACTAAAGTACGATATTGACAAGTGTGATGGAACTCCACACAAGTACTTGGTGACAATCATATACATTCCTATCAGCATTTTCATCATCATACCCAAGATCCACTTATTTTCGTCTGTCATTTTCAAGTCCTAATTAAAGCTAGGATTTTAAAAAAAGTCACTCTTTTTTTGGCTACTTTATCAACGAATTTCCAGAAGTATAAAGGATGCATGAAATTTACTGATGCAGAGAAAAAACTAAAAAGAAGGATTAGACAATCAAGAGTTTCCGTTCTGGTCATTTTTGTACAATTGGAACTTGACTGAAATTGTACCACTTCATCTCCCAACGTATGATGATCCATAACTTTTTTATAGGACCACAAACAGGGCACAGAGTCTTGGACATGGAAACATGGCAAAGTTTATACCCCTTACACAGCAGTTTATAACGTTAGAACTATATGAAACTCATGTAATAAAGCTGGCTGCTGAAACTAACATTTCTTTAAAATTGTAGTGCGCTAGTAAGTTAGCGTTCATCTGACCGGTGACGGACTCAGAAATTTTACTAAATTGTATCAAAATATTAAAAAGTAAACACACGAAGAAAATAAGGGGAGTAAACATATTGTACATATGCATAAAAATAAAATTTTGACCTAGCTAACAAGTATAATTTGCCAACAAAAAGGTATCAATTGACACCCCTTAGCATAAAGTGGCTCCGCCACTAACCTCGACCATTTTATAAAATACGTACTACCTTCCACCAGTACAGATATCAAATAATACTGTTCACCAAGACTTAAGTAGATGAGAAGAAATTACGGATATCATTTGTGTCTACTGAACTTTGATCTCCAATTATCTTCACCAATTTCATTAACTGCTGTCAAAACAGTTTTTTCTCGTAATGTTGCATTTTCTTGCATTCAACTGTTTCCTATGACACAAGCTATGATAAAATTCTCTTAGCATCAATCACACTTAGAGTTAGTAAGTAGTAATTTTTTTTCACTATATCCTCCTTTAAATACTCTGGAGAGGCACATAAACCTTCACCAGTCTTAAGTAAAATTCTCAAAATTGATACCATTAACATCGGCTATTAGACATCAATTTTTCAGTAAATGTAAAATGCTTTTACCAACATGAATAAATTAGCGCAATGCACTGATTATTGATTGTTATAAACAAAATTGTATTTAAGGTGAATGTCTATATTTTAGAGAGATTTTAGGAATTTTACTTGGTCTCTAAGTCACTGTTTCCCTATAAATAGAGAAGTCCTATTCCATTATAATTCATCTCAAAGCAATAAGAATTCTCTCCCTCTTTCTTTGCAATATTCTTCTTTTATTGTTTCATTACACGTTATCAGCACGCGACTCTACCGTCTCAAGAAGCTCTTTGAGAAGACTAAGCAAATATGGATATCTCAAAAAGCAAACTTGGATCAAAGTTTAATTGTAAAAATATTTGTTTGATTGATTCATGTACGACAC